GCGACGGCTGGAGTCCGGTGTCCACGGGTCGCGCGATGCGCCGTCTCGCGGACCGGTTGCCAAAGTCGCGATAAAAACGGCGGCAATTTCGAACATACTCCCCCATGGGAGGCGCAGCATCACATCTGCTTTGAAAGCCGCCGACACTAATACCTATTTTATATAAATTGAAAGGCCGAAAAATAACAAAAAAATATAAATGTAAATAAAACATAAACAAATTAAATATATTATAACAAATAGTAATTGTACCAAAATGTGAAAAGGGACACAGTAACATGATAATAATTATACAAGGTACATAATAATAATAATAATTGCACAAATTGCAACATAACATAGTATAATAAAAGGAATACCGCAAACCAATAGGTAAAGCGAATAAGAATTTAACATAATAAAAAATAATAATTGCAAATAAACGAATATAAAATAATTTAATAGTAGGCAATATTGCAAATAAGCCTAATCAATCACGGGGACCTGTACCATTACCAGGTAATAAAACGAGCTTAGCTGCAGGACGAATGACAACACCGCGCGAGGTTAAAACGCGCGCGACCCTTACCACGCCATCCTTACCCGGCAATACCTCGAGTATTCGTCCAAGTCGCCATTCCAAGGGAGGGGCTAGGTTATCCCGGATGGTGACCATCTGGCCGGCTTCAATATTGGGTTGACCGTGAGCCCATTTGCTTCGCTCTTGCAGCGTGTGCAGGTACTCGGTAGACCAACGGCGCCAGAAGTGTTGGTGGCAATGGTCCAGCAGCTTCCAACGGTCCGTGAGCGGGCGGTCCGGACACTCAGTAGTACGCGGCGGGAGCGCTAACAGCGGCTGGCCTATCAAAAAATGGCCCGGCGTTAGGCAGTCGAGGTCGTGGGGGTCGGTCGACACTGGAGTGATGGGACGTGAGTTCAGCACAGCTTCAACTCGACATAATACTGTGGTGAATTCTTCATAAGTGAACGTATGGACACCCATAATCCGAACGAGCAGACGTTTAGCTGAGCGTACTGCGGCCTCCCACAACCCTCCAAAGTGCGGTGCACTGGGGGGATTAAACTTCCAATCGCAATAGGACTTCCCCGACGTGATTATTGATTGTGCGGCGGGGCCATTAATCAGCTGACGCAATTGTCTGTCGGCACCAACAAAATTTGTCCCACAGTCGGAATAGACCGTCGTAGGCAGGCCGCGTCGAGCGACGAAACGGTCAAAGGCGGCGAGAAAGGCCGAAGTGGACAAATCCGATACGAGTTCTAAGTGGACGGCTTTGACGCTCATACATACGAATACTGCTATATATGCCTTGTACGTCCTAGATTTTCGTAGTTTATTTTCGCGCATAGCTATAGGCCCGGCATAATCAACGCCGACACTGGAAAACGGACGACATTGCGACACCCGTGCTTCTGGTAAATCCGCCATGACCGGCGTGGGGATAGACGCACGGAGGCGCACGCAACGTGTGCATTGACTAACGACGGAATGGATAACGGAACGCAGCGACACAATCCAAAATTGCCGGTGTATCAATGAAGTCATTACACGTGGTCCCGAATGACCAGTGACTTTGTGCCAGTGGCGACACACTAACAGCGCGAGGTACGAGCCTTTAGCTAACAAAATTGGATGTCGACAATCGTACGGCAACTCTGAATGACGTAGGCGTCCACCGACGCGGATTATACCTTCGGAGTCGACGAACGGACACAGCCGTGCCAACGGCTTGGAAGCTAAGCGACGTAATTTCTGCAAATCGCTGACTAATGTCGGAAATGTGACACGTTGAGACGCAGCGATTACCGCACGAGTTGCACCGTTGAGCTCCACTCGAGTAAGCGCAGTCGATCTCTCGACGGGACGTCGGCGACAAATATCGATAAAACGGCGCACACGCGCGACCACACGTATAAGTTCGTCGTACGACGAGAAACGCGTGAACCATTCGACTGTAGGTGCGGCAAGACAAACTGCGGGGGCCATGGATTTTACTTCAGGCAATTCCGCAACGGACAAACGCGCGATGTCGCTCCCCCATTCATGTGGAGGGTCTCGGAGAAAGTCGGGCCCTTGCCAATATAACTTGTGGTGCGGCAACTCAGACGGCATCAACCCACGGGACGCACAATCAGCTGGGTTCATCTCCGAGCTGACGTGACGCCATTGACAACTTGGTAACAACGTTTGTACCTGGTGAACACGGTTCGACACATATTGCTTGAACGTGTCGTGGGGCACTGTTAACCATGACAATACAATCGACGAATCCGTCCAGGCACACATGTCAATGATGTCGATGCGCGTATTTAATAATAAAAATATTCGGCTCATCCAGCGCGATAATAATACGGCGGCATTCAGCTCGAGCCTCGGAATCGATAACGGTTTAAGCGGCGCCAATTTGGTCTTGGAACCGACCAACATGACCGACGATGCGCGTGGGGCATCATGGGTGCGCAAAAACACTACCGCGGCATAGCCGCGTTGCGACGCGTCGCAGAATCCATACAACGAACACTGAGCTCCGGCGGTTGTATTTAAATAGCGCGGAACACGCACGTTGGCTAACGCGGGTAGTTCGTCGACGAACTGCGACCAATCTGCGCGGATATCGGTAGGCAAACGCTGGTCCCACGTACACTCGGACTGCCATGTGCGTTGCATAATATGCTTGGCAAGGAAGATGGACGGCGCAAACAAACCTAACGGGTCGAAAAAACGTGCTGTTAATGACAAAATGCCGCGCTTGGTAAATACAATTGCGTCATCKATGCGAGGTTCACAACCGAAATAATCGCCGTCTGTATACCACGACAAACCGAGAACCTTGGTATCAGCGCCCTCATCACCGGCAAACGTTGTCGATTTTACCACCCGGAACTCGTCCGGAACAGCGTGTAGGACGGCGGCGGTGTTGCTGGACCACTTGCGCAACTCGAACCCCGCAC